CGGTTGGGGCGCCGGATTCTGTCCCGGTTGCCCCTCTTCCAGGCCAGCTCTCTGTTGTGGCCAGGGAGTGCAGTGGAGGATGGCCCAGGTGCTTGGGCCCTGCACCCCATGGGAGACCAGGAAAAGCACCTGGATCCTGGCTCCTGCCATCGGATCAGCGCGGTGCGCCGGCTGCAGCGGCGGCCATTGGAGGGTGATCCAATGGCAAAGGAAGACCTTTCTCTCTCTGTCTCTCTCTCTCACTGTCCACTCTGCCTGTCAAAAAACAAACAAACAAACAAATAAATAAAACTTTAAAAAATTGAATTATTCAGATATTTAAAAATAATTTTATTCTCATTTCTAGTGCCTTTATTTCAATTCTTTTTATGCTAAGAAGGATTTCTACTGTGACTCACAATTCTACTTTATCAATTTTATGATGCATTCAAAAATGATTATATTAACAAAAATTTTTTATAAGAATGAACTTGAATGAATTTACAGATTGAAACTATTATTATCCCGCCTATTTCTATTAAATTGACTCAAATATTTTAAGATTTTAAAAGCAAACACCTGATAAAAACATTAGAAAAAGCATTTATTTTTCAGATGATAATTTTTTAAATTCTAAATTCAAGTTAAGGTTAAGCATGTATTAGGTTTACCTTGTCTGTTCGATGGTAACTTATTTCACATGTTCTTGAGTCACAAGTATCTTAAAGTATATTTTAGAAGAGAAAGGGAAGTAGTATATGCATACAAAAATAACAAAAGGTAGTTCAGTGCACAAACAAGTGCCTAACTGTAATTTGTAGATCATACACGCATTCACTGAGAAAGGACCATCAGGGGTGAGCATCTGTCATAATTGTTAAGACGCTCGTATACACATTAGGGTGCCAGAGTTCAAACCCCAGCTCTGGTGTCTGACTCCAGCTTCCTGCTAATGTGCAACCTGGGAGTCAGCAGGTGATGGTTTTGGTGGTGAGGTCCCTGACACCCACTGGGAGACTGGGATCGCCCTGGCGATCATAAGCATTTGAGGGAGTGAGCCATGGATGAGAGCTCGCTCTGTCTGTCTCTGCCTCTTTCACCATCTTCCTGCCTCTCAAATAGATACTATAATTTATAAATGAAGGGGATATAACACGGAGTTAGGCACAGAGAATGTTTTGATAGAGTGCATGTGTATTGTGATTTGAAAAAAAAAATAACAGTAAGATCTGAAATTAGTTAAGAGGAGTCCAAGAAAATATAAAGAGCAGAGCCAAAATTGAGTTGGTGCTAAAAAAGGAGGAAAACAAAACTGAATAAAATGGTCATAAAGAGAAACCTTGGGAAGAAAGTTAAGCAGCAAAAGCTGAGTATTTGATTGAGGAGTACAGACTAGTTTAGTACAGCAATTGGGGTGACTAGAGACAGGGATAGCAGAGAGACATCAGGTGGCAGACTGGCCTGAAATACATTGCCTAAATGGATAAAATAAATAAGCATAGGCACCAAACCCTGCCCCTTAGGAAAAGTGAATACAGGACAATTTGGGAAATGTCTTAGTTGTCATTGGCATACTGAGGAATTATATCCTCCCTCCCCAGACTTGTACCTTTCACTTAACTGTCCATAATAATGTTAAGCAGTTATTCCACCTCTCCTGATTCCAGCCCCCATTCCTGATGGAAAATTTTATTCCCTGGGAAATTTTCAATTAAAAGTCAAAGTCTCCAGGTACGTTAGATTTGTGTAAACACACAGTCTCACAAGACGTCAGGAGCCAGCAGCATGCTGAAGCTGTTTCTCAGTCCTATGGCAGTGACAACACGCATCCCTTCCAACTGCCTGTACTGGGACATCCCGCTGAAAATCTGCCGTTGCTTATGAAGGGGTACACATGCCATGAAACTGGCAAATGCTACAAAAGAATGGTTTATTTTCTGTAGGGTGGAGGGAAACAGTTTGTTAAATATTGAACAATGTATAATTCTACACAAGGTGTATTTATCTATACTCTTTCCAATTATTTTTTTCTGAGTTCCAGTTGCTCTGATCCAACCAGAACGATATCTCTGTATACTGTTGCCACATAAGGCTTCTAGGCTAGAAAGCACAAGCACAGAGGCTCATCCTCTCTCCTTCTCAGTGCACGTGTGTCTGTCATTATGAAATAAGATGTGCTCACTTTGACAGAGGATTTTTTTATGCCCACATTTTTAAATACTCCATCATGGATATACTACTGGAAGAAAAGAGAAATCAAGGTGAAAAGCTTGATGGAAACCTCTTCGTGGCAGAATAGATGTCCTGCCAGAGCCAATCACCAAGTCAGTTGTAGGTAAGAGGACATCTTTAACAAGAATTTCCATGGAAGATGAACAAGCATAGCTGGCAAATAACCCAGATGTTAGGACTTGTGATAAGAGCTTCAACATTCAGGTACAAGTCCGAATCACTATTCAGCAACTGCCCACACAGTAACTTTAACAAAGCAGAAAGTCTGGTATGTCCAGTTTGAAGCTCACAGAGTCATTTTTTTAAATATGTGCCAACACTGTGCACTGTGTATGACAGCAGGGTGTCATTAACAGTTCTACTGATGGATGAAGGAAGTAGCTACAGTTCCAAGGTTTGCAAGTCTCTTCCCATCTACATTCATGATGACATCAACAAAGTTATGACACATTTATTCTGGGCCATTTCAACAATGATAGCATCTAGCAGCAGTATGTGTGTCATTCATACATTAACTCACTCAACATAATTATGTGATAGGTGGTAGTCCTGTCACTGTCGCCTTTAATGAAACTGTAGTCTACCAGTGAGAATGACAATAAGCCATTGCAAATCCACTCAGGAGAAGGTGTTTCAGACAAGAAAGAGAAATGATCTTTCAAGGAACTAGAAGTTCATTTGGGCAGGAGAGATTAGTAAGGGCCAAATTATTACAGAACTGCAAGCAATTAAATAAAATGAGATTCAGACTTTTTTAAGGAGAATGGTAAAATAGTAAAATGTTTCATGTACTTCATTTGATGCACAGGAATAACAAAAATGATCCAACTTTATTCTAGAAAGGATTGGAATTTAAATGCAAAAAATACCTATGTATTTAAATAATAAGCTCAGTCTGAATATTTCAGTGAATGACATTATTTGGGAAAATGCAGATCCCAGGTGGAAGTTAACACAAGGCTCATTGATTGACAAGAATATGAATAGATGCAAAAGGATTAGCTTACCAAGAATGCAGTACCGGGGAGTTTTCAAGGTAAGAGCCAACTGCATTGGGCCAGATATTGCATCATCACAGATGTTTATGGGAGCTGGTCTTGTAACCCGGGAATTCATCCCACACTTTGTTTCCCTGTTTCTTCCTCTTAACAAAAGTAAATATTTGCAAAGTTTTTCTGACACACTTATTAATGAGTCCGTGTCCTCAGTCTACCCCACGTACCTGAAACACATAGGGGGCTCAAAATCCCACTGTTCTTGTGCAACACTTGCTGTCTGTCCCAGGCCTGTGTCTGAGATTGAGTCATTTGAATAACCATTAGCCAGTCTTCTATTTCTATGAAGAGTCCATTGGAGTATTTTTGTTTTATAAAGAATAGAATGCCCTGTTAAATCCTATTTATGTATTAAGTCCTATTTATTAAATCTCTGCTTGCAATTTTTTTTATCAGGTAATGGGATTGGAGGTGGCGCATCTGAGACACAAACTGGCACCCATGTGTGATACCAGTGTTGCGAACAGTGACTACCCACTATACCACATTGCTGGCCCCATCTGCCTGCCATTTTTACTAAAAGATTGCAGTGTCTCATGTCACATTAATCCGAGTGTTAGAATAATACAGAAAGACAGTTATTTTCTCTGGGGCCAGAGGTGTGGCAGAGCAGGTGACACTGTTTATGATGCAGCTCTGCTTCCTATCCAGCTCCCTGCCAATGCACCTGGGGAGGTAGAGAAAGGTGGCCCAAGTCATTGGGCCCCTGCTATTCATTTGGGAGACCAGATCCTGGCTTGTCCCTGGCCCAGCCCTGGCTGTTGTGATCATTTGAGGAATGACCAGTCCAAGGAAGATTTACCAATCAATTCACACCCTCAGTCTGTCTGTCTGTCTCTCTGCCTGCCTGCCTCTCTCTCTCCCCCTCCCTCCCTCCCTCTCTCCCTCTCTCCCTCTCTGGCTGCCTTTCAGATTAATAAATCTTTAAACACACACACACAAATAAATTGTCTTACATCATTACATTGTAAAACCCTTTTGTATTCTCTACATGTGTTTCTCAGCTATACCACAATTTCTAAGTAATACCTTTTGTATTTTTCGATAAATTTAAAGTTGTACACAAATGAGATCCTTAAAGGTTTCATGTGAAAAAGCGATGGTAAAGATACTGGTAAGGAGGATAATGATGATTCTGGTATTTTTCAGAGCATCAAAATTTTGGATTAAACCTACAGCAATATATAATCACCAGAGTCCCTATTTTTTGACAAGCCACATTTAAAAATGAAGATAATTTTTATCCATACTTGCTAGCAACATACCACAAACTCTCTATTCCTAAAGTGCCATAAAATTGTAAAGAACTCTTTGTTATCTGTAACTGGGCACACCCCAGTTTCCCAATGTAATTGGTAGTTAAATTATCTGTGTTACCTGTTCCTTGACCTCTCCAATTCTTAGTGGATTCTTCCATAAAACAAGAAAAGCAGTAATTTTAGTTAAAAGAGTTAAGGATGACTATGTAAACAATTAGCACACAGTAAGTAATGAACCTATAAATTTATAGGAAGAAACATAGAGTTTCCAGATGTAGTTGTTTTGTCTCTCAGAAGACTGCTTTAAGGTATAAAAGAATTATTAGTAGATATATTTTCTTTAGCATCTGTCCATCATAATTATTTCATTTCTCTTAATATTCATACTTGCTGAAGTTATTAACTAATTTAGTATAGTCGTCTATAAGGAATACATGATCAATTATGCCATATATTGTGACTATTTATCTTATACCTTGAAATGCTTCCATTCCTTTCGTAGTTCTCTTTGCAAATATTTAAGTTTGACATCTTCCTAAAAAAGACAGAAGATTACAGTTTCTACATGAGCAAGTATTGTACCAGTAATTTAGTATTCAATGTTGCAGTTTCTATCACTAAATTGATAAAGTGAACCTTGAACATGTAAAATTATAGGCTGCTGCATAATAAAAACGGATGAGTAATAGGCACATGATTAAAAAAGTGATACTTCATTTAAGAATGCACTGGATATGAAGAGTAAAATTAAGTTACAGAGTACAAATACATAATTTTAATATTATTTATAATGAATAACTATCCCAAATATGAATAATTTACTCATATTTCTATGAAGTAAGACATACTCATACGACCTTCCTCCAGGACACATACAGTCTTTTCAGACATTCTGGTATCTTAATAACACTATCACTATATAAAAGAGAAAGCAAGTAAGCAACCAGGGGCTGGGGTTGGTGCTGTGGCATAGTAGGCTAAGACTCCACCTACAGCACAGGCATCCCATATGAGTGCCGGTTTGTGTCCCGGTTGCTCCACTTCCTATCCAGCTCTCAGCTTATGGTATGGGAAAGTAGTAGAAGATGGCCCAAGTAGAAGATGGGCCCCTGCATCACAGGGGAGACCCAGAAGAAGCTGGGTACTGGCTTCGGATCAGCCCAGCTCCAGCAGTTGCAGCCATCTGGAGAGTGAACCAGTGGATGGAAGAGCTTTGTCTCTGTCTCTCCCACTGTCTGTAATTTACTTCTCAAATAAGTAAATAAGATCTTAAAAAAAAAAGAAACAGAGAGCTGACATTAGACTTGTTCCCATTTTCTATTTCAACATTTAACCAACAGGCTCTCTATAGTGTTTTGTGACACTAAGATGATTACCATTTTTTTTGTATGTGTATAAGAGGGTACTTCATAAACTGCAAGGTAAAATGGAATTAAAGGATAAATTTATTTTGATGCATAACAAAGGTCTTCAAAAAGTTCATTCAAATGTATGCTGTGGAAAAAACTACCACCCATTTTGTTTTTATTGCTTTTAAATTCAAATTATAAATAAAATGATTGAATGCAAGTTTACAAATGAGCTGAAAAAATGTTTATACAATCTAAAAATTTGAAACAACTGCTTTACTAAAAGTATTTCAGAGATTCTAGTTATCAAATGCACAGGGCATTTTTACATGCTAGAACACAAGATTGCATATTTCTTACATTTTACATATTTCAGAAAGTCTTTATTAAATACATTATATAAAATCCAGTTTCTTAAGCAGAATAAAGAGAGTAAGTTGTTAAAATTCTAACAACTTACATGCCAGCCTGTAATAGTATTTTATGGACCATGAATGATCAAAACAATCCAAATGATAGTGATTTGGTTTCATACATTGTTACATATAATAAGAATATAAAAGGCATATAATGTGCAATGGCTTATTTCCCTTCTGGAATATGATCATTTACATAAGTTTTCAGCTGTTCAACATGATTGGACAATAACTTGTCATAGTTAATAAAAATCAAATGATACAAGACTACTAACAGATTATTCATTTTTTACAAATATAAATGAACTCTAAGTGTACTAAGCATAATTTGGACATTAGGTGAGTTACTAGATACTTAACTGTCTTACCTTGTTCGTTACTAAAGTTTTCACTTTAGAGTTCAGATAATACCAGTTTACAATGCTTCCCAGATGATACGTGCTATATAAATTTACTGTTGTTTTTATTTGGAGACTGTGGTAGTTTGGCAATCGTTTCACTTTTGAAATCATGCCTATAATGACATTCAGTTTGAAGCAAACTTTTGGATTGATGGTAGTGGATTTGGCTTTCCTGACATTATTGTTCCTCATACAAGGGTAATCTGCTGGCTAGTTTCATATTGTACAATAACTAATGACCCCATTCTCTTTTTGGCAGTCCAATGAAAACATAAAACAGATGTTCAACATTAGCAGATGTGCAGGGTGACACACTAAACATATGCAGGGAGTGGAAAGCCTAGATCCTCTTACATGTTTGAGAAATGCTGACCACTACACACAGGATTTCCAAGTAGCATCATTTGGTTTTGTAGGGATAGAATTTCATTCATGTATTAGATAATGATATTTTCCCACATTTCAATCTCTACGCTATGCCAAAACTACTTTTTTTTTTCCCAAATAAGAGTAATGGACCATTAGAATTTTAAAACTATCATTCACTTTCTTATCTTCATATTAATCATAAACAAAAGAACAAAATACTCAAAGGGATACAATATTCACAATAATTTCTTATCAAAATAAATTTTTAAATTTATCTCTTTTGACTCCAAATTTCTTTTTTTTTTTCCAGGCAGAGTGGACAGTGGGACAGATAGAGAGAAAGGTCTTCCTTTGCCGTTGGTTCACCCTCCAATGGCTGCCGCGGCCAGCGCGCTGCGGCTGGTGCACCACGCTGATCCGATGGCAGGAGCCAGGTGCTTCTCCTGGTCTCCCATGGGGTGCAGGGCCCAAGGACTTGGGCCATTCTCCACTGCACTCCCTGGCCACAGCAGAGAGCTGGCCTGGAAGAGAGGCAACCGGGACAGAATCCGGCGCCCTGACCGGGACTAGACCCGGTGTGCCAGCGCGGCAAGGCGGAGGATTAGCCTAGTGAGCCGCGGCACCAGCCCTTGACTCCAAATTTCAAAACCATCATTCATTATGATTTTTTTTATTTGAAAGAGTTACACAGAGAGAGAAGGAGAGGCAGAGAGAGAGAGAGGTCTTCCATCCATTGGGTCACTCTGCAATTGGTCAGAATGGCCAGAGCTGCGCCCATCTGAAACTAGGAGCCAGGAGCTTCTTCTGGGTCTCCCACGAAGGTGCAAGGGCTCATGGGGTTGAGCCATCTTCTATTGCTTTCCCAGGCCATAGCAGAGAGCTGGATCAGAAGTGGAGCAGCTGGGACTTGAACTGGCACCCATATGGGATGCTGGCACTGCAGGCGGCAGCTTTACCCACTACACCACAGCACCGGTCCCCCATCATTAATTTTGGACCCACCCAAATGTTATCTTCTCAGTGTGGACTTTCCCTGTGCTGTTGAAGTGGAGTATCTAACTTTACACAGTTTGCTCCCAATTAGAAGCATTGTGAAGTTAATTAGTCGCCAGATTTGTTTACCATTCTATTTCCAGTACTAATATGGGAAAATAATAGGTGCTTAGTAAGTAGTTTTTAACTAAATAAAAAAGGACATAAACCAAGTAATATTCTGTCCCTGTTTCTCACTCTTCTACTCTCTTTTTCTCATTTGCTTTTCTTTGTGATGGGTTCATCTTCACTCTTTTTTTTTAGTTTTTTTGACAGGCAGAGTGGACAGTGAGAGAGAGAGACAGAGAGAAAGGTCTTCCTTTTCCATTGGTTCACCCCTCAATGGCCATTGCGGCCAGCGTACCGCGCTGATCAGCAGCCAGGAGCCAGGTGCTTCTCCTGGTCTCCCATGACCCAAGGGCCCAAGAACCTGGGCCATCCTCCACTGCACTCCCGAGCCACAGCAGAGAGCTGGCCTGGAAGAGGAGCAACCAGGACAGAATCCAGCGCTCCGACAGGGACTAGAACCTGGAGTGCCGGCGCCACAGGCGGAGGATTAGCCTATTGAGCCGCAGCACTGGCCAAGTTCATCTTCACTCAATTTGATAGATAAGCAATCAATATTTGTCTAAAATCTTTTTTGTATAAATACAGAGCTTAATGTTCATTTTTATAAAATATGTAGTTATGTTATCCTTTTCCTATTGAATTGACTAATATCCTAAACAAAAATTGATCACTTACATGAGCTTGCTTCCAAACAATATTATTTTCCTCTCATCGATTTTTCTCTTCCTATATAAATATAACTTTCTTGATAATTGTACTTTTATCTTAAGACTTGAAATCAAGGGTGAGTCCCCTAGTTTAACTTTTTCCCTAAATTTCTTATGGTGGTCTTTGATTTTTTTTTTTTTTTTTGCATTTCCACTTGATTTTGAATGGCTTGATGAATTCTTCAAAATGCATTAATAGAATTCCCATGGATTTATAAATAAAGTCAGGAGACTAGAATCTTAAAAAATACTGAGTCTGCCCATTTGTGAAGATAGTACACAACTCATTTAATTCAGTGACTTTAATTTCATGTAGTATTTTCTAGTTGACAGTGTAGCATTTATTTTTATCTCTTCTTTTAGATTTATTCTGAGGTCTTGCACATATTATTGTTGATTCATTCTTAAATGACATGACTCTAAATAGTATTATTAAAGTTTTCCTAATAGTTCTTTGCTATTATATCAAGATTTTGTATATTGATCTCATAGGATCATTTAAGTAGTATTTTGTAGATTCCACTGACTATTCTATATATACAGTTACATTTCCTGGAAACACAGACTATCTTACATCTCCCTTTCCACTGTTTCTCATTTTTTAAAAAAAAAACTTTTTTGACATGGTATTCAATCTAGGTCTCTCATGTGGGTGGCAGAAGACAAGTACTTGAGCCATCACCTACTACCTCTCAGGGTATGTATTAGCAGGAAGCTTGATCAAGAGATGTGCCTATACTCATACTTTGGGGCAGGCAGTTGAGTTGCCACATAGTATGTCACATATATGATGCCCTAGTAGGAGTTCCTGCTTTTCTATTTATGATTCAGCTTCCTGCAAATTCACAGGCTGGTTGGCAGCATATGATGATTCAAGTATTTGCGTCCCTACTATCCATGCAGAGCACATTGATTGGGTTCTGGGCTCCTGGCATTGACTTAGTCCAGTCCTGTCCTTTGTGAGCATTTGGGGAATAAACTAGTAGATGGAGGGTCTCTCTCGCTCTCTGCCTCCCTTTCTCTCTCTCTATTTGTCTCTTTCTCTCTCTCTCTCTCTCTCTCTCTCTCTCTCTCTCTCCTTCTCTCCCTCCCTCTCTCCCTTTCAAATAAAATGAAAAAAAAAAGAAAAAAAACCAGCTACTCTGATATGATGCAGGTATCCCACATGGAATCTTAACTGCTAGATAAAAAG